TTTCTTCGATAGAAATTCACTACCAAGTCAAAAAGACACCGCAAAATCACCTAAACACTTGCTCTGTGTGTTGGTGAGATTTGATGAGCAGCACAGGAAAACTGACAAACATATAAAAATTTGAATGAAAAACAGTATGCCAAGATGAAAATCTAAACTTAACTTCTGGGGAATTAGAATATAATGTCAAAGAAAAAGCCTGAAACATATTTCAAAATATAATGTGACAATGTATCTAATATATCAGAACACATAAAAAAAGAAAAAGTTAAATTTGATAAGACATCTGAAAAACTTGAAAAATGGAAACTTCATATACTTTTCGTAATCCAAAAACGGTGCTGATCATACTTACCACCGCTCAATGTAGAATAATTCAGAGCGAGATGGGAAAGAAAACAGCAGCGCAGTAGCAGAAGTAGAACTGAAAGAAGGCTTAATGAAAAAGGTACAAAATATACACGTGATCAGTATATGCAGCAAAATTTTAATGTTTCCCAGAAAGGTCAATAAAATATACCGGAAATTTCTAGAAACGTTAATAAAAAATTTCCAAAAGATTGAATGGGACAAAGCAAAAGGGATATCAAATAAAGCGCAGCATCAAAGAACACAATAGTTAATAAGAACTAACAAACGATAAGAAATACTCCATTAGATGGATTATTTCACACCCAATAATACGCCGTTCAAGAAAAGCAGCTCTTTCTGCTATAAATTCCAAAAATTAATAAAAATTCAGAAAAATTAAAAAGTTAGTGGAAGTGCGATTAACCAGTAGAAGTTAAATTCAATAACGAACAGACAATGAGTGCAACGTTTATACACGAATATCTAAAATTGCAAATATTTGCTTTAATTGAAATTTGCAAAACAGGAAAAAGTAAAGATGCTGTGCTAAAAACCAAAAGGAGAAAATCTGAAACTGGAGAAGCACTGAATGATGCAGGCTGCCAATATAACAATGCGATGGTTAAAAAACAGTCATTTCTTTCACCAGTTGTAACTCCAATTTCCACGTGTAGTACTTGGGTATTGTGGAAATTGCGTACTTTCAGTAACGGTATTTGTCTGTGCTTGCCCACCAAAGTGAATTGATGACCAAGCCGCACTCCTGCAATAAGTATTTGGTACTACTTCTAAGGTAATATTGCCTATATCAGGTTTAAGTTCAAAACCACCGGTCGCACTTCAGCTTTGCATGACACAAAATTACACTTGATCACTCTCATACAAGAGGTGAGCAATTTATAAATCGCTGCTTTATTAAGAAATTTAAGCCAGAAAAAGAGCAAGGTTGCAATTTTGATCAGCGAAGAGGAGTTAAATTGCTTTTAAACAATTGGATAATTTAACGACTAGGCTGCTAACGTCAGACTTGACCAAGAGGCTCCCTAATGAGCCATAAAGTATTTATGATTTGGAAAAGGATGCTTCCATCCTCAAGGATTACCAACAGGAACTGAAAATTATTACAGGAAACGGAAATAAACTAACGTTGAAGACTGAGTAATCGGAATGCCACCATGGTGCGACATGGAAGATGGTGGCGGAATTTGAGAATTAAAGAAAGGTGGTGGTGGGATTGACGTATTTGCAATCTGGGAACGTGGTGCAGGTATTCGAAAACTGGTCGGTCCAACAGCTGTAGTTGCAGCACTGTAATTAATATTTCCCACTGGCAAAATTGGCTGGGATGGTTGCTGCTGCAAAGGTACCGGTTGATGCTGCGGATTTGTAGGCCGATATGAACTGAGAAGGTTTGTCAAACTTTCATATTCATTACTGGCAGCTTGTGCAGCCTAAAAATTAACGAAGTGGGTTCACACGAAAATAAAAGCTATAAAAATTCAAATTTCGTTCACAGACTCGAATCAAATGTGCCTCTTTGGAACAAATAAATGGGGAACACATAATTACTGTAACAATATGGAACTCCTAATAGAATGAATGAAACTAAAAAAGCCAAAGTATTTGGAAATTAAAAACATAAAGGAAGCAAATTTTGCGCTTCGTGATGTACATTCATGATCCCTATCTTTAAAACATAAAGAGGTAGAATAGTCGAGATGCTTCGCAACTAAGGTGGCAAAAGCCAATAAGCGTAGTGTGGAGCTGCATCCGGCTCCGAACAACCCTGAGATATATTGCCCTGCTGAATCATATTTTGAAAATTTAATAAAGACGCACTTAGCCAGATAGCTTAACATGTTGCTGTTGATAATTTTAGATCGTCTACTACAATTAATTCACAACCATCTAAAAGAACTAGATTATCGTTAAAATACCTGCTGAAAGTGCATGCGACTCCATGCCTGCGCCGACTGTTGCTGACTAAGATTAACGTTTGCTATATCAGTTCCGAAAGAACCCGTAACATGTCCTGAATTCCCCGAGACTGCATAAGAAGTGGTCGGTGGAAACGGTGGATGTTCCTGGCGGGTAGATGCTAGGCGGGCTGCTACCTTAAACTTACCAAACAACAGTGAAAGAATGAATCCCTTTTCGGAGGTGAATTACAAGTATCAAATAAAAAACGTATTCATTCTAAAATAAAACGAAATGAAAAAAGAATGATCTAGAGATTTTTCTTGAACGCAAAACACTTGCTTGATCTATCCAAGAAGAGCTGTCGATTTCTTGAGTAGATCCCGTCATTGGAGCTGAATCTAACTGGGCACTTCTCCAACGTGCAAATGTATCTGTTGGAAAAGGTCCTGCATTACCCCAATCAATAGGATCACGATTTGAAAAAGGGACATTCAAATCGAAGGGCGGTATATTCTCACCCAAGAAACTGCGTCGCGCCACAGCCTCGCTACCTGTCGTATCGACTGGCCTATCTTCCTGATAATATTCACTATCAAACACGAATGTTTTTATATTTCAAGCTATTTTATGGAACGTAAAATCGACACAAAAGATTTTACACAATAGATCATTGGAACAGATCGAACTGTTTTTCAAGCTACTTTTTCTTTTCGAAACATACGGATGTCCGTAAACTGGCGATATTTTTAGCCAAATCGACCACATGATCAGCCGCACTGTTGGGATTTGGGTAATCTCTAGCGGGCTTTGCTGAAGTCGGTAGCTGCACGTTGATATTTCGCGCAAAATCTTCCAATTGCACTGGTGCTAAAGGTGCAGGAACAGCCCAAGGTTTATCGTCAACAATGTTATCATCCCAAATGTTGGCGATTGACGACGGCATAATACTTGGGCGAGTGGGATCCAGTGACTGAAAACCTTTCATAAATGAACAGGAAAAACGCATTATTATTCACCTAAAATGATCCAGTGATGATCTCTCAATCCCAAATCATTCGATTCATTTTACCTGAACAACGGATAAATTAAATTTTCAAACTTTTCTACCGAAAACAGTTTTTCATCGATCGAACTGGTCTTCAGTGCACCCAAATTCGATTTAGTTGTACCAAGAAGTGGTTGTAATTTCCTTTCGGCAATATCTGAATGTTATTTATAATCTTGGAAGAAATCACACCAATAATAAAAAATGGCACATCGCGTAAAAATACTGAATCTTCTTCCTTCTAAAGGCAATTTTTGAATGAGACAATATGCAGTATAACGTGTTAATTTCATTTCGGATTAATAATGAAAAGAAAATCCGATTTTTCTGGATCAAAAGGGTGTGTAAATGACGAGACAAAAGTAATAAGAGATCACCTGATGCGGAAGGTAGTGGAGCAGTGGTTGGAACATTTTGGGGAAATTCAATTTTCGGCCCACTGCAAAACATACAAGCATCTTATTTCTTACGCATCAAAGAAATATCTAGTGAATAAAAAATTTTTTATACAAATTCAAATCTTGAATAACCAGTCACAGAAAGCCTAAAAAGTGCAGAGAAGAAAGTCTTTATGGAAAATTTAAACCATAAAGGTCCACCATGAATTTTCGCTTTTATACAAATGTGGATTTTGATGATCCCAGACAGTAAAAAACAAAACGAGAACTTACGCTTCAAATGATTCCGTTCTAGGCTTTATATCAGTCATTGTAGCAGTTGGTATGGTCGTACCGATCGAAGAAGCCACTATAGCGCTACCAGGTCCAATATGAATCGGGGACTTTAAGCCTTTAAGGAAAACTTCAAACCTTAAAGGTCCACCTTGAATTACGATACCCTGCCCCTGATCTGAATTTTTATCCATTAATAAATATGCCTATTTCCCTATCCACATCGAAATTTCAAGCACACCATTAGACTCAACTCCATCAGCAAAAAAACTTGCTTATGTGAAATGGACCAAATACGCAAGCTTTTTATCTCTGTCTAATCCTCTCTTCTCCCTTTGTTGCTTCACCACACAATACTCATTTAAATCTCAACTGAAAAACCTGCTCTGAAGATAGTGAAAATTAACACGAAAACGCACCAATCGGTGAAACTGAAGGACTTGAAGCAGATGCAGAAGTTGGTCTTGCATGCCCAGGCGCTCGACAAAATTCTTTCAACCCACGTTTCTGCGTTTCATCCTAGATATCCAGAGCAAATTGAAATACGACTAACCAAGAACGAACGAAATATGCCAACCATAAACCCAAATTAGACAAATAATTCCGCGAGTAACTTTTACCCCAATGTTGAGGACAGCCGCATCCACAGCTGGCATCTCCTGCATAGGATACACTATTCCAGGTGTTCTGAGTTGTAGTGCCTGATCAGGATTCGGATTTTCCTGTTCTGCAGCACCAGATGACATTTTCTGCTTCTTTTCTGAACCAATTGCGCTCACTACTGAAATATATAATATTTAGAATGATCATGATAGCATCAAGTTAGAATCTCCAAAAGAAGCAGAGCTATTTGCCTTTCTGACTTTGACGTTGTGCAGCCCGCTGTGCCCATACATTCGTAGTAGCATTATAAGGGATAGTCTTCTTGCCTGCTACTCCATTATGCGACATCTGAAAAAGATAAAAGAAAAGAAAAAAAGATTTATTAAAAAAAATTTTAGGGGAATAAAATTTTAGCTTAATCCAGAAAAGTAGCAAACCTCCAATGGTGGATGTGATACTGCAGTACCGATGGTATGAGACTTTTTCTGAGTAACTGGTATTGTCGCTGTAGGTGTAATACTAGATAATGTTAACACCGAATTACTTCGACTAGTATTTTCCTCACTTTGCGAAGTGGAAGTATTATGGGTACTACTCACTCGCTGAATTACTTCTTCCACGTTACATTCACTATCATCGATTAAACCATGTATCATTTCGACGGCTTGCCTGGAAAAAAGAGTGAATTCACGTTTACATGCGTCTAGAAAACTAATGACAAAAATTAGTTCTTCAAGCTCCTGCTAATACTGCCGAAAAATAATCACATGCTGAGCACAACCATATCAGTTGGTTCCACAATCACTCCTAATCCGCCATTTCTGCTATTCGCATTATTCTGATTCGGCAGTGCTATGCTGAAGTCGAATTAAACCTTTGATAACAGATCAGTAGCAAGAAGATACCCATATCTGTTTGTCTCATGCTTCTTGTAACTGAAGCAACTGAATGTGTTACAGAGTCATGCATTCCGGAATTGAGAATGTATAAGCAGAGAGTAAATTTGAGGAACGGATGCTTTATAACATAATCAAATATCAGATTCTTGTCAAATGAATACTCAATGTAATAAAATTAATTTAGCTAACCACGCTTATTTGACTTACTTTACTCTGATTTTTTCAATGACAAATCCTCCGCCAAGTGCCCCACCTATCAACTTTGGGTATCGAAAAAAACTTTCTAGTGGAATATTCATTGCTTCATGTACCAAAAAAACCTCCGCCATAACGGAGCACTGTAACGCAAGCTTCAGCGTGAAATGAAGCATGTCAAATTATATCATTCATCGTCGAGATTGTGATGGTCGTACTCACGGCCAATCAGGATGACCTACCTTAACGCAATATCAGAGCCCTTTAGTGTTATTTGTCGATCATGTTGTTCCTTCTTTCCGGTTTGCTTTTCAACTTCGATGTATGCTCCGGTAGCTTCACGAATTGCATTGATATTACCTCCTGCGCGACCAATAACACGGGCTATTGAGTTTGACGATACGGACAACCGGACGGAACGTCGACGGCTCTAAAACAATTTACTTCAGCACCAAATTTAGTCTTATCACTCGTACTTCATGATTCTTAAAGCTTCAAATTTTCTCCCGAAAAGTTCCAATTCCTACAACAATTACAGATACTTTACCGAGTCAACATGCCGCCATGCCACAGTGTTACTTGCACTGTCTTCCTTTAAAACAGTACCAGCAATAGCACCTTTCCCTGACATCACTGCTTTTCCCTAAAATAGTTTAGATTTTAAATAGTTGGTTACATGAATTAAAAAAAAAAAAAATTCGTTAGGTAGGTCTCTTAGGAATGTATAATAACGATACGAAGAGATAAGAAACATAACATCCGAGAGATAACTATACCCGAAGGGAGTATACTACTACTCAGCTACAATGGCTCAACTGACAATGAGAAAATCACAATGAAAAATTAAAATAAAAATGAATCAGGCAAGCTTCGCAGACCAATTACACTCATGTGCAAATGAGCGCCTAGTGAATACACCGCTGCACGCAAACCTAATATACAGCCGGTAATGAATTCTTGAATTTTCCAATGAATTTCTCATTCGAAATGATAAAGCTAGCAAGGCAGGTGTCATACAGCAAAACATGTACTGTAAAAAGAAATTCTTCAAATATTCTTTCGGCTTGTCGAACATAAGAAAATTCAACACACTCAGTGAGCCATTTCCCCTGACCTAACAAACTACCGAAGTCTTGACATCCTGACCAAAATGTAGCATACATGCCCGCTGCAGTTAATTCAGTGCAATTTTCCTTTTTTCGTTTCAAATATGGTACGATATAAGACGTAAAAGAACACCGAAAAAGTATAGAAAAACAACCGAATTTTGGAAAGATATGAATCGACTGGTAGTTGGGCATACCTACCTAACGAGTTTAAATATTCCAATATCCTCAAAAATTCATCCTATAGAGTGCATGGCTTGAAAAAACACGTAAATTCTGAGAACAAAAAAGATATTGATGAATTTTATCTGCTGTATGGATCTTTTCATAACTGAAAGCAATCGACCAAACACTATAGGGATATTAGGTGAATACCGCTAACGACTATGAAAAATTAGAACATATAGGTTGGATTATAGTAATTGAAGAATCTGTAGTTAGTGTTTTATAGCAAAGCACACTAATACTCATAACATGCACTTTGGCTTGCTACTTAAACTATGTTAAAGTTCAACACCAGCATTAATATATGAACTTCGTCATAAAAAATAATTTGGACTTGGAAAGGTTACTCAGTGTCTGATACAGTTCCCTAACGAATTACTGCATTTAGCTCAAGCAAACATCACTGTTGCTTCCATAAATTTCACCACAACTTAAAAACCAAAAAGTACCTCAACATAACCTAAAACACTCAAACAAAGGATAACATTTAGTTCATTTATGAAATTGCTCGTCATTTAAATACTAATCCAAAACAATTTCATATTAACAGTTCCCATAATTAAGACTGGAAATGTTGCCTAAAATCTTAAAAATAAAATGGTTTTATTTGTAAAGGATTTCGATCCTCCAAGTTATAGATGTAAAAAGATTCGGAGACTATAAGCTTGAAGATATTTATAAGCCCCAAAATATTATAAGGAATCATTCTTAGTGCATAGTGTTATTAATACTATCTTACCGCACTCCTTCTTGATGTTGCTTTCATCCATTCGGTATCCGAAGTATTTCCACTACCCGTTTTATGTGGAGGCGATTTCACAGGAGCAGCAGATTTTCCTGAAATGATTCCTTGCAAATTTCTAAGTTATGAAGGTCTCGAATTCAACTGAAAAATTTAATACGAATAAAGGTGAATACCACTTTCTTTCCGAACTCTATGTCTTGATGACTTCCCAATAACAGAAATAGTCGACGCCACCATGCGTTTTCCGGGTGATGTTTCAGGGAACGAAACCATTTCGTCGGCACTATGTTCGTCTGATAACAATGCAGGCACACGCGGCGGATCCGTTTGAAAATACTGCAACATCATATACAAATATAAGAAATATGACTGGCGCACTTTATTACATTGAGTCGTAACAGCTAACAAATGTCGAAGAATGGTAGGACATATTCCGAAAAGCTAAAGCGACTAGTCGACATCACCATATAATGATCATACACAGACGAATGGTTAAAACCATTAACAATTATGTGGATTGGAAACAACTACTTGATGAGCAATATAGCAAGCTTCTTTCAGAAAGCTTGTATCCATACAAATATGCCTAGCATGCAACTAGGAAATCATATGCACATGCGTATCACAAAATGACCTCAACTCTCTGAATACCTCGCATTAAAAAACTATTCATAAAGAACCTCGTGGTCCGAATCACGATTCTGAGTATTACTTTCGTCAACTGCTACACCGCTGCTTGCTTTTTCAGAGCCATTTTCTTCATCGGCTGATTCCTAAAAAGGATTTTATGACGCATTTGAGTTCTAATTACCGCAAAATCATTTCAGTACAACAGAACAGAACTCACGTTTTACCAACTCAACTAACATAAAAACTGGAAAACTTTCATTTGACCATCATACCTCACCATTATTGATGGGTGCATCTTCTTTACGATCCGAATCTTTCTGTTCAGTATTGCCGTCAGTTCTAAAAAACGACTGCGTAATATGACAAGCATGCAGTGAAATAATCGATAATTTATATCCATATTCCGAATATACGAAAGACTTACTGATTTTTCTTAGCTTTTCGTTTAGCCTTTTTCTTCTCATTTTGTCGCTGTTTTGAGAGTTTCTTTGATTTAGCTTGCTCTTCCTGAAAAGTGTAAAGCCAGTTGATAGAATAAATGATTGAAACTGCTTAAGATACATTAAATATCTAACCATGCATACATAATTTTCTCAGCTAATGGCAAAGGTAGCAACCTCTTTCGCCAAAATTTCCAGAAGAGATTCTGCGGCACGATTAGCTTCAGCAGCTTGTCGATCTTTTGCTGCAACAATGATGTCCATACAGAGGTGGCATCTTGTAAGTAAATCCTGAAACTATCACTATTGCAAACGTCGGAAAGCACCAGTGCAACTGTTCCGACCTTGTGAAAACGTAATATTTTGGAAGATGGGTGACAGTTTGACCTCCTACACTTCTTACAAAAAGTAACTGTCTCGTTTCAGTTAAAAATTTATATGAAAATATTGTAGAAATATGAAACCCAGAACCCATATAGCACATGTTGCAGAAACTTATGTCTTGGATAGCAAAGGCTGGTCTAAATGCAGAGAACCTAATAAAAAGGATTTAAATGAAAGTCTGGTCACAGGCACTAGAATTTATTTTACCGTCTTATTCAACAAGCAAATATGCTATTATCTGCAGAATCTATGCACTGTATGGTCTGAAAATCCTGATGAATTTCTACTACTCAGGCAAATATTACATAATATTTACGGTTGTGAAGAATCTTTTTTCATTTCTTCCATCCTTTTTCTTTTTTCTTTCTTATGATAAATATAAGAAATAAACCTTCTCATTGATTGTAGCGATAAAACGATAGCAATCTGTATCATTTGGGAATTGTTGTACATGTCTTACCATATACTTCACTACCTAAACAACAATAACACTTCATATAGTTGGCAAGAATTCTAAAAGCCGTGTAAAAGTTAAGTCACCTTTTCATTTCAAGCATCATACTTCCTTCCAAAATTTCAACCACTACTCTTTCCCAATCCAGTACAGTCAACTGTAACTTGAAAAATACTTTGATATGTCCTCTTCGGAAAGCAATGATTAATGGTGAAACGTGGCGATTATCTTGCACATCAACATCTGCATTATGTTTTACTAATGTTTGCACCGTTTCCAGATGACCTCCATGACATGCCAACCATAAAGCCGTACATCCTTTCTTATTTCTGGCATCAATCTACAAAAACCTTTGCTACCAACAAAACTTCGAAAAGAATAATCAAATATGAATTTGAACCTAAAAGATTTCACTCAAGACAGATTTCCTTATTCCTGTATATACATGTTGGGAAATATCTTCTGCAAAATACTGAATGAAATCCAAAATTTAATGAAAAATATTTTATTCCGAAAAAAGGACGTACCAAGGCACGCGCATGAATCAGCATTTCAACAAATTTATGATGTCCTTTATCAGCTGCGATGGTTAGTGCAGTATCACGACTAGAAGGGACTGGTGATGCATTTGGATCTGCTCCAGCAGCTAATAACAATTCTCCAACATCCACATAACCTCCGTTCGCTGCTTCCATTAATGGAGTAAGTCCAGTCTGGAAAAAAAAAATTGGTGAATTATTACGTAAATTAGATTTTGCGGTAAAAATGTAAACAGCTATTTTACAACACTTAATCCTAACAACCAATTCTTATTATTTATAGTGTGACAGTCATTGCGACTGGATTCAAAATTAAGTGACAAGAAATATACGTTACGCCGTACAACAGACCTTCCCTCAATCATATATTAAGGAAGAAGTGAATATTCGAACCTTTGCTCGATGCTCAACATTAGCGTTGTATTCAAGCAATAATCGTACCACATCGGTACGACCTTGAAAGCATGCCAATGTCAGTGCAGTATTACGATTCGTTTCAATATGCGAATTTATATCCGAACCACGTTCAAGTAACACTTTTGTTGCCGCAGCGTGTCCATTCATTGCTGCTAACATAAGTGGTGATATGCCTAACTAAAATAGCTTATTACTCACACATCTATCATCGATGTCGACCACAGATATTTGCTGGATGTACCTTGATCAGGTATACTAGCGTCATTTGGAGTTCAGTGTACCGTGATTCATGTTCAAGTATATTGGAAAGTTTCGTTTTCATACACCCAAGGTGGTGAGCGTCACATTATATACAGCAGTTACCATTAAAAGAAAGAAATCCATGCAATTTACTGATTATAGCTCCTAAAAACAAACTGGAACCATCGGTCTTCCTGCTACTACAACTCTACTTGATCTCGCAGTGCAATAAAGCAGGACATATACCAGCCAGAGATGCAATCGTTTTAAACAGCCTTGCCACAACTATGTAAAAAATATTTTCAGCTATGAACAATAAGAAGGACTCAATTCGATAACGTATAAAAGCAAAGGCAGATGACACTCCCAGGTCCCAGTTATGATTTGACACTCCACAGAATCCAAAATCCTGACTCTGACCAATCAAGTGGGATGATAATCTAAAAATTTTTTTTTAATTTATTGAAGAAAAATCTGTTGTCACAAACCTTTGAGCCAGTGCGGGAGTTAATTTCTGCACCATTATTTAGAAGCAAATTCACGATATCAACATAACCTCCAGAGGCAGCTAATGAAAGTGGAGTATAGTCGCTCACGTTACGATGTTCTTTGTTAGCACCACGTTTTAACAGTAACTCAACAACCTAAAAAACAGAAAGTGTCACCTATTTAAATCCTTAAAAGCAATAGGTCTGTTAAAACAAAAAATAAATAAGACAGAAAACAAAAACACTCAAAGTTTTATGCACCCACCAATTTCGATTTAAAATTTCATATTATGATACAAGTTTAAACTACGCTGTGAACATAATTTGACTATGATAAAGTCACCTCTTTCCGTCCACCGGAACAGGCAAGAGATAGAGCCGTATCCTTCGTGCGATCAGATTGAGCTTCAATGTTAGCACCATGATTGAGTAGTAATTCAACAACATTTACATGACCACCTGTTGCAGCTAATATAATTGGGGTAAAACCCTGAAAAAATAGCGTTAAATCACATATCCGCAAAATTAATTTTACTTCTGTGAAAAGCATTTTCGAATACTTGGAAATATCATTAAAATGATGAAAGGTTACATCTAAACAGGTGTTCAGAAGTATTTCAGAAAAATTATTACTTCAAGCAGTATTCGACAAATCTTAAAAAAGTTGTTCATGCCGTTGCCTTCTAAAGATATTGTAAATGTATGTTGACAGTACAGAAAAGATATTTTCACAAGTAAAGGCGCTAAATAGTTCTAACTAATTAAAATAATCCTTGTGAAAAGGTGATTCAACCTATGAAAAACGTAATGTGAGGAAACTGGACCAACCTTTTTATCCTTATGCTCGATGTTAGCACCTCGAGTAATAAGGAGTTCAACGAGAGAATCATGCCCACCTGTGGCGGCTAGAGTAAGAGCAGTGTCATGATTTGATTCAGTTTGCATATCTACATTAAATGGCTGAGAACCTGAAATAAATTACAACCATAATAAAATGTCGACTTTGTGATCAGAGCAATTCATTTTGACCTGAGACATGCAACCATTCCCTCTCCCATTTTATTTGAGAATAAACTTGAAAGTTCGGACTCGGTTGCTAAACTGAAATCGTATTATTGCAAATATCGCTAATTTCTCCCGTGGAAGCGATGATTATAGCTTCTCTAAAATGTTACCATCGTTAGTAACTACCAAATAAGTCATTTTTACCTAATTTGTACCTTTTACTCCTGCGCTTACAATTTAAAAATTCGGATCATATCAACTAGACTTCATCAGTTACTTTGCAGACAATTTATGAACTGTTGGTTTCCTAAACAAATATCGTTTTCTAACAATCGATCAATCTTATTCACAAATAGTAAAAATCGAAGCACCATTGTGTAAGTTGAGCGAAAGTCAATTGTTGGAAACAACGTGTAACATAGAATGTCAGCAAGAAATACGATACATTACGTATACAAAAATGTTACGTCGCTGAACCATAATCGGACAACTTGCAGAATCAATCATGACTAGTTTCGATCTAGTTTTAAAAAAAACTTGCCTCCACTTTTAAGATCACTTCTGCTACTAATTTCTTCGTCACTCTCTGTATCATACGTTCTTTCAGTTGTATGTTGTCCGTCACCAACGTGCATTGCGCTCTCACTTAGTGTTCTACCTCGACTAAAAAATATCCCACAGAATCCTTTTACAGATCGAAATTAAACTTTTTTACAAATCAATACTGATTTTAAAAAACAGAGAAATGCAAAATTATACCTTCTTGACGCATTCCTGTCAGCTGATGACTCATCACCGGTTGCTTCGCGAACAGGCTTCGAGCGTTGTCGCCCAATCGCTGGATCTGATATGAGTTGTTTAGTTGATGGCGGTGACTGCTGTCTCAGTAAATGCTGCGCTTTCAGTGGTGACAACGGCACACTTTCTGTAAATAACTATGTTACAAGAACTATACTTACAATAATCTGTCGTGAAAGCCTGACCACTAAAAACAGTCAGTGTGTGAATTTTTTGTACAGCAGGATACCAGTCTTCAGTACGTTGCTTTCTCGATATCAAGCTGAACTATTCGCACATCGTACACACATAAATGAATTATTTCCCACTGCTAATAATTTTTAAGTATTCAGATGCTGAAAGAAATTTTTTTATAGATGAATCAAACCAATGTGGAGGGAATTTTTGTGCCCAGAAGTAATTTTTAAGTATTCAGATGTCGAAAAAAATTTTTTTATAGATGAATCAAACCAATGTGGAGGGAATTTCCATGCCCAGAAGATAAGTTACCAAGCAAACAACATCATTTCGCGTGCACATATAACACTATTGGACAAGCAATTTCGAAGAGACAATCCACCGGCAAAAGTTAGATTGCGATGATCTTTGTTAAATATGCCCAATCACTTCCCCTCCTCTCAGCGCCAAAATCGTCCAGATCTACTAAATCCCTTTACAACCCATGATAACATTCTTTCCCTCCATCTATCAATCAATGTATCGCTAAATTTTGAATTATAAAATGCCCTGAATATCTTGTTCACCATTTAGAATTTATGAGCAACACAAAAACAGAACAGACCACGTGGAAGGTTTGCATTCATTACTGGTGGTGGTGGTGCTGGGAATCTGAGAGAAGATGCTGGTGGAAAACAACCCCTATATTCACCATCTGACAGAATGATGCTTTTACCACCTTTTTTCTGCTGTGTCCCACGTCCTCCAGTAGTTTTTTGTCTTTCCTGTAAGCGAGTGGTGAGTTAGACACGACGTATATACGATACATTAGGTTGGTGCAAAGGTGAATTTTCTATAACGTTGGATTTCCTTGTTCCATATTAAAATACATTTATTAAGCATCATTTTAATGACCATTTTTATGCTCTTTGCTAATGGTTTATAAGTCGCTACATATTATACATACTTTATAAATCATTATTACATATTAATTTTTCATTAAAGAAGCGATGTCAGCAAGAAGCAAATATGAGTTTCTTTATGTATATACATATGTATATACATGTACATATATATATATATATATATATGTATATGTATATATATATACATATATATATATATATTATATATGTATATATATATATATATATATATATATATATATATATAGTATATATTA